ACAATAATTAAACCACTTTTAAAGTATTTTTAAAATTTTTTATTTATTTGGCTGTACCAACTCTTAGTTATGGCACATGGGATCTTTGATTTTTGTTGCAGCATGCAAACACTTGGTTGCAGCATGTGAACTTATTATGTTTTTTGAAGCATAGGTCATTACAGAGTATTGAGTAGAATTCCCTGTGCCATCTCCTCTAAATTCCCCCCATTCTTACTGCCCAGACTTCTTGTTGCTATGCTTGGTCATATTTAGTTAATTTGCCTTATTTCTTGTTCTGTTCTATCTTCGTCGACATTTTAGAATAAACTTCATCAGCTCTCCTACAAAAATAATTCAATTTTTAATTTATCACATATATTTATTCAGTTACTACTTAGTACCAGGGTTATTCCAGATCCTAAAACTATATGGATTAAAAATAGACGAGATTCTGTTATGATGCAACTGGCATTTTGTAGGAGAACCAGATTAAAAAAGTGAAGAAATGATATGTAGAAATAAATATTGACAGAATTATAAACAATAAAAGTCTTTACATAGAATCCATCAGAAGAGAAATGTCTCCTCACAAATGGTTACCTTGCAAATTGACATTTTTATGGAGATATATTGGCTTGGCCAAAAAGTTCATTCAGGCTTTTCCATAAAAATGTTAAGGAAAAATCTGAATAAACTTTTTGGCCAACCCAAAATAATCTGAGGTCTGAAGTTTCGTGATGGAGTGAGAGCGGAGATAGGGAGAGAGGTGACAAAGAGCTCGAGAATGAAATATAATAAGAAACGAGTGGAAGAGCATGAAGATAGGACAGGAAGTTATACCAAGGATTCTTTGCTAGCCTCTGGTACCTTGCCATTCAATTAGGTTTCAGGACATAATTTTAGCAAAGATGTGGGATAATATGAATTAAATTTTAGAGAACATATTTTTATCTTTTCTGTAGAAAATGGATTGGATGAGGGAAGGAAGCAAAGATTATTTAGAAGTCTCCTATAGGCTATTATTAAGACTAGATGGAAGGTAATGATTTATTGGATTAGAATGGTGGCAGTTCTGGCAGACACTGTCTTCTAATTACAGAATGTTTCCTGCTGGACTGAAAATATATAGGTGCCTTTCACTTTTCTTTTTTTTTTTTTTAATATATATTTGTCATGAACATGTAGGGTAATTTAGTAAATTTTTAAAAAATTCCTATGGTTTGCAGCTTATGAAAGTGAAAAATGAAAGTGTAGTCCCTCAATCATATCCAGCTGTTTGCAACCCCATGGGCTGTAGCCCACCAGGCTCTTCTGTCCATGGGATTCTCCAGGCAAGAATACTGGAGTGGGTTGCCATTCCCTTCTCCAGGAGATCTTCCCGACCCGGGGACTGAATCCTTGTCTTCCACATTGCCAGTGGATTCTTTACCATCTGAGCCACCGGGGAAGCTCTCTTACAGCTTAGAGCCGCCTCAAAAAAAAAAAAAAAAAAAATTGTTTTGTTCTATATGCAGCTTATGGATTATAATTTCTCCATTCAGTCATTTTTCATATAGTTTTAACATCTTGTGCAGTGTTCTCCAGGGAAAACTTTCCTTTAAAATAAATATTTTAAGTGAGTTAATCCTCTTGAGACACATGACATACTGCTTAAAAAAGGATGACACTTATAATCTTAAAACTACAACATAAGCAACTGGGCTTTCCATGTAAGACAGATCGTTTCAAAATAAAAAGGAGCCTGAAATCTCCTTTTATTCATTTTTTTCTAAACTGCTTTAAAAAAATAAAAAACTGTTTGTTTTACTCTGATCTTGAAAAATATGCTCCAAGTTAAATAAATCATAAATTGGAGAATATTTCCTATCTTAAAAAAACTGAGAAGAAATGAAACTAATGAGTTTCTTACTGTGACAAAATCCTTGAATTTACACATCTGAGTGTGTATTACTGAAGCTAATGTTGTTTGCATAAAAATGCAAAATAAAAGTATGGGTTAAAGCAAAATATAAAACCATGGTGGATACGCAACATTAGAAATTGCCTCTATCCTGGAACTCATGTCAAAAGAAGAAAGTCAAGAATGAAATTGCTACTAAAGACATTAAGGTTTGGGGGAAAAGTCTGTTTTTATTTTAATTATAATAACTTTATTGCATAAAATGAAGAAATACTCGATCCCTGTTTATCAGTTGAAATAGGATGGCATGCAGTTAGAAATACTTTTCTTTCACACAGTAAACATTAAATTGTCTGCTTTAAAATTTACACTGAAGGAATCAATTGTTCTATTGTAATAAGAAATCTTTGAACCTTTCATTTCCTAGAATCTGGCTTTCAATAGATATCCTTCTCAGCAGCAAACAGAATCTCAGAAATGCTCTTTATTAAATGAGTGTTTTGTTTACCTCAGATAATCATAAATGTATATTCCTTTAGTACACAGACTCAGTGTAAACAATGTGGATTATGACACTGGACTGAATGTGGGAAATTATTTTTTTATTTATCAAGCAATAATATTGAATTTAATAGAATTTGAGCCTTTCAAGAGCTGTCTGATTTTAATATTATAAGAGAATCTCTTATATTGTACTTGTAAATTGTCAAAGCAGTTACAGAAGCCCTTGGGACTATGTGCTTGTGCTTGGTCACTCAGTTGTGACTGACTCTTTGTGACCCCATGGACTGTAGCCCACCAGGCTCCTCTGTCCATGGGGATTCTCCAGGCAAGAATACTGGGGTGGATGGCCATGCCCTCCTCCAGGGGATCTTCCCCACCCAGGGATTGAACCTAGGTCTTCTGCATTGCAGGCAGATTCTTTACAAGCTGAGCTACCAGGGAAGTCTCCCTAGCACTGTAATAGTGTTTAAAAACAATGACTATTTTACTTTTACCAAGCAAGAATTTATTTGAGGAACTAAGAAGAAATTAATGTCAAGTAGTTCAGAATACTTATTTAGAATGTTGTAATTTAAGATTAGGGTAATGTATGTGCCTAGTTGCTTAGCTGTGTCAATTCTTTGTGACTCCATGGACTGTAGCCTGCCAGGCTCCTCTGTAATGGGATTCCCCAGGAAGGATACTGGAGTGGGTTGCCATTTCCTTCTCCAGAAGATCTTCCTGACCTAGACATGAAACCTTGAAGAAGATGAAAAAATAAGAAAACAAGATGTTCAACAGGGTTTCAGATTGTCATGTATTGAACCAGAAAGAAATGAGGTTAGAGGTGAATAAGTAAAAAGTGGCTCCCATGGAGAAAGGGGGAGACACATGGAGCAGTGATGTACCAGGCATGTCTAGATAATCTTTTCCTGTTTTAATACCTTATTCTAGAACCCTGCACATTACTTCAGGTATTTAGTAAAGTGTGCTATATAACACACTCCATACAGGATGATATGCTTTGTATCTGCTTGAGTGAATTGGGAAAAAGAGCACAACCAGAGTCAATAAAATGAAAGTAAATTCAAATCTTCAGGAAAAATGGGGAAAACAGTGGTCATGAGGATTTAAATATTGAAGTTTATAGAAGTTTGATAAAAGTAATTCCCACTTCATTTAGGGTAGGGATATTTAGGTCAAGTTATGTTAATTTTCAAAGACAGTTACCTCAGGTGAAATCTGACTTCTAGAATTATAAAGTTTACTTAAACTGTAATAAATACAAAAAAAGATGTTTGGCAGAGTAGAATTAATCATCATTCTGTAAAATGAAGATAAAGACACTTAACCTTTCTTAAGAAAATGGCTTTCTGAAGATCTTTGGAGGCTCTGTGTAGCTTTAGAATCTGTGACCCAAGAAGATAGTTTCATTATTTTGTATTTTCATCAATATAAATATAAATGGTTCTTTTAATAAAGAAAGAAGAAGAAAGTTAGATAAATAATTTCATGCATACTAAATAGATTGGAAACTTTAAAAAATACAGACAATACAAGTTAAATACTATTTTTTCTTTTTTTTCCTATTTTTATATGACTATCAATGTACTGTGTTTTCCTTTGGGAATGCATGAATTTATGACACTTGAGAAAACAAATTAAAAAATCTCAAGGATTGCATTCAGTGAAATTTTGAATAAAATTATATGAACAAATATTTTTATTATTTTTAATTAACTAATTAATTTTATTTTACAACATTGTATTGATTATATGAGCAAGTTTTTATAGGCTATTATTCCTTTTTGATTCTTCTTTCTTTCTTTTTTTAAAATAGAAATCAGCGATGAGAAACCATACAAGAGTAACAACTTTATTCTCCTTGGACTAAGCAATGATCCACAATTACAAGTGGTTATTTTTTTTCTCCTTTTTTTTTTTCACTTGTTGAGCGTCACTGGAAATCTAATCATCACCCTTACCCTGCTAGATTCACACCTCAAGACACCCATGCATTTCTTTCTTCGAAATTTCTCTTTTTTAGAAATCTCATTCACAACTGTCTGCATCCCCAAATTTCTTGTCGGTATGGCAACAGGTGATAAGACCATTTCTTATAACAATTGTGCAGCACAGCTGTTTTTTACTATTCTCTTGGGTGCAACCGAAATTTTTTCTTCTGGCTGCCATGTCCTATGACCTCTATGTGGCCATCTGCAAACCCTTGCATTACATGACCATCATGAATGGCAGAGCGTGCAACTTACTGGTCTTTGTGTCATGGTTGGCTGGTTTCATAATAATTTTTCCACCACTCCTCATAGGTCTCCAGCTTGATTTCTGTGCAGCCAACACTGTAGATCATTTCTTCTGTGATGTATCTCCTATATTACAACACTCTTGCACAGACACAGATAAAGTAGAAATTATGATGCTTCTCTCAGCCATTTTAACTCTCCTGGTTACTCTGGTGTTAGTGATTCTCTCCTACACAAACATCATTAGGACTATTCTGAAGATACCTTCTTCTCAAAAGAGGGGGAAAGCCTTTTCTACATGTTCTTCTCCCATGGTGGTTGTGTCCATTTCTTATGGGAGCTGCATCTTCATGTATGTGAAACCCTCTGCCAAGCAAAGTGTGTCTTTAAATAAAGGGATAGCTCTGCTCAGTACTTCTGTTACCCCCATGTTAAATCCTTTTATTTATACACCGAGAAACAGACAAGTGAAATATGCTTTTAAGCTCATGATCAAAAAGATTGAGGTTTTCTCAATGAAGTGAACATTAGTGACATTCCTGAGTTGATAAGTAAAATAAATCAAGAAATGTGGAGTGTGTTGTACATCTCTTCTATGGTTGTGTTCTACATAAAATTATTATCTTACATGACTTACAATGTTCATTGTGACTTTCCTAAAAATCCTAGTCTAACTTTCACTTCTATTTTCTCCTCACGGTAAGATCACATATACATTTCTTATATATGGTCATACTCATTTGTCTTTTGATTTGGAGACTCTGTTGATTTCCTTTAAAAATTCTCTCAGAGGAATACAAAGTGAGACTTCAATTTTCCATGTTCCTTTCCACTGTTTAGAAATTTAGATATTCAGTTTGGTGCACATTCTATGCACCTAGATTTGAACACCTAATCAGCTTTTCTGTAGTGGATTCCAAGTTTCAATTCTGAATAGAAATTTGGAACAAACCGATTTAATGCATTTCTTAAACTACACATGTTGATAGTTTCAAATAACCCTGCTTGGACTTCTGGTATACTTTTAGAAACAGATTGAAGAAACTCTAGAGATGTTAAGGCATTACTGCCTTGCAATAACCAGAGAAATTATTGCTAACATTAACTAATTGCTTACAATAGCCAGGTTTGTGAAATGTATTAGCCTGCATCTTGAAAACAGCATAAGCTAGGTATTATCATACTCACTTATGAATAACAATCTTTAGCCTATTTAAAGCTTAAATAACTCACTGGATTAGAATAATTAATATTGTGAAAGAGACCATAGTGCCCAGATTCAATGATTCCCTGTTAAAATACGTCAGTTTTCATTCCAGTCCCAAAGAAGGGCAATGCCATAGAGTGTTTAAATTACTGCACAATAGCACTCATTTCACATGCTAGCATGTAATGCTCAATATCCTTCAAGCTAGGTTTAAATAGTATGTGAACTGAGAATTTACACATGAACACGCTGGATTTAGAAAAAGCAGAGGAAATGGGATCAAATTGCCAACAGCCAGCCATTGGATCATAGAAAAAGCAACGGAATTTCAGAAAGACATCTGCTTTATTGAATATGCTAAAGCCTTTGACTGTGTGGATCACAGCAAACTGGAAAATTCTGAAAAGAGATGGGAATAGCAGGTCACCTTACTTACCTCCTGAGAAACCTGTAAGCTGGTCAAGAAACAACAGTTAATACTGGGCATGGAGCAACAAACTGGTTCAAAATTGGGAAAGGAGTACATCAAGGCTGTATATTGTCACCCTGCTTATTTAATTAATATGCAGAGTACATCATGCAGATGAGGGGCTGAATGAATCACAAGCTGGAATCAATATTTCTAGGAGAAATATCAATAACCTCAGATATGCTGATAACATCGCCTTTATGGCAGAAAGTGAAGAACTAAAGAGCATCTTGATGAAGGTGAAATAAGAGAGTGAAAAAGTTGGCTTAAAACTCAACATTCAAAACAGTAACTTCATGGCATCGGGTCCCATCACTTCATGGCAAACAGCTGGGGGAAACAATGGAAACAGTGAGAGACTTGGGGTCCAAAATCACTGAGGATGGTGACTGCAGCCATGAAATTAAAGACGCTTGCTCCTTGGAAGAAAAGCTATGAAAACCTAGACAGCATATTAAAAAGCAGAGACATCACTTTGCTGACAAAGGTCCATATAGTCAAAGCTATGGTTTTTCCATAGCATGTACTGATGTGAGAATTGGACCATAAAGAATTCTGAGTACCAAAGAACTGATGTTTTCAAACTGTGGTGTGGAGAAGACTCTTGAGAGTCCCTTGGACAGCAAGATCAAGTCAGTCAAACTTGAAGTCAATCCTGAATATTCTTTGGAAGGAATGATGCTGAAACTGAAGTTCCAATACTTTGGCCACCTGATGCAAAGCACTGGAAAGCCCATGATGCTGGAAAAGATTGAGGGCATGTGGAGAAGGGGGTGGCAGAGGATGAGTTGGTTGGATGGCATCATCAACTCAATGGACATGAGTTTGAGCAAACTCTGAGAGATAGTGAAGGACAGGGAAGCCGGGCATGCTGCAATCCATGGGGTGATGAAGAGTTGAACAGGACTGAACAATTGAATGATGAAATCAAAATATCCATATTTTTCACAGACCTAGGACAAATAATCTTAACATTTATATGGACCCAAAAAAGACCCAGAATTGCAAAATAATCCTGAGAAAAAGAACAAAGCTGGAGGTATAACTCTTCCATATTTCAGACTATACTTCAAAGTCACAGTAATGAAAACTGTGTGCTATGGACACAAAAATAGACACAAAAATCAATGGAACAGAATAAAGAGCCCAGAAATAAACTAACCCATCTATGGGCAATTAGTTTACAACAAAAGAAGGAGGAGGGCTTCTCAGGTAACACTAGTGCTAAAAGACCTGCTTGCCAATGCAGGGGACATAAGAGATGCAGGTTCTATCCTGGGGTTGGGAAGTTCCCCTGGAGGAGGGCATGACAACCCATCCCAGTATTCTTGCCTGGAGAATTCCATAGACAGAGGAGCCTAGTGGGTTACGGTCCATGGAGTCACAAAGAGTTGGATGTGACTGAAGTGACTTAGACTGCAGGCATGCATGCACAAAGGAAGGAAGAAGGAACATTGGAGAAACAACAGTCTCATCATTAAGTTTTGAATATCCAGTCATCCATGATGGTCATATCTTAGTCATAGTAAATTATGCTGTAGTAATCATAGGGACCCTTATATCTTTTTGAATAAGAGTTTTAATTTTCTTCAGATAAATACCAAGAAGTGGAATTTCTAGATCATATGGTAGTTCCATTTTTAATTTCTTTATGAACTTTATAGTATTTCCCATAGTGGCTACATCATTTATATTCCCACCAATAATTCACAAATGTTTTTTCTCTGCATCACTTGTTATTTGTAGTCTTTTTTATAATAGTCATTCTAAAAAGTGTGAATTGATATCTCATGGTGGTATTGGTTTGCATTTCTCCAATGATTACAATTTTGAGTTATCTTTTCATGTGTCTCTTGTCCATCTGCATGCCATTTTTGAAAAATGCTATTCAGCATTTCCACATAGTTTGCCAATATTTCAAGTTAAGGATCACTTGGTTACATCTACATGATTTTGGTTCTTGATACTAATCTCTGTCAAGTGTTCAGCTCTTCAGAGAAACTGCAGTTTGACAACATTTATTGTGGAAACTGCTGAGCTAAAGTCAGATTTCATCCCTCTCATCTCTTCCTGACTCCTAGAACCTAGCTAAGGGATATAGTCATTGAATCCAAGTGTTCCCAGAAAGGAATTGTCTCCTTTCATTTCTTCCTGGTAGTAACCAGAATAAGGGGGTTGGGGGTGGAGAGATACCCACGTCTACTTGGAAAACCCAAGATTCCATCTAGATTATTCATGGGAATGACATTTTCTCCTAACTATATCCCCCAATCAGTCTGGTTGGCACACCTTCCAGGTGGCAACATCTCCACAAGGGAGGACCTTATGGATTTGCACTTAATTCTGGTCCAGTTCAGTTCAGTTCAGTTGCTCAGTCATGTCTACCTCTTTGTGACCCCATGGACTACAGCACACCAGGCCTCCCTGTCCATCACTAAATCCTGGAGTTTACTCAAACTCATGTCCTTTGAGTAACTAATGACATCAAAACGTCTCATGCTCAGTCGTCCCCTTTTCCTCCTGCCTTCAATCTTTCCCAGCATCAGGGTCTCTTCAAATGAGTCAGCTCTTCTCATCAGGTGGCCAAAGTATTGGAATTTCAGCTTCAACATCAGTCCTTCCAATGAATATTCAGGACTGATTTCCTTTAGGATGAACTGGTTGTATCTCTTTGTAGTCCAAGGGACTCTCAAGAGTCTTCTCCAACATCACAGTTAAAAGCATCAATTCTTTGGTACTCAGCCTTCTTTATAGTCCTACTCTCACATCCATACATGACTACTGGAAAAACCATAGCCTTGACTAGACAGACCTTTGTTGGAAAAGTAATGTCTCTGTTTTTTAATATGCTGTCTAGGTTGGTCATAACTTTTCCAAGGAGCAAACATCTTTTAATTTCATGACTGCAATCACCATGTGCAGTGATTTTGGAGCCCCCCAAAAATAAAGTCTGACACTGTTTCCCCATCTATTTACCATGAAATGATGGAACCAGATGCTATGAACTTAGTTTTCTAATGTTGAGCTTTAAGTCAATTTTTTCACTCCCCTCTTTCATCAAGAGGGTCTTTAGTTCTTCACTTTCTGACATAAGTGTGGTGTCATCTGCATATCTGAGGTTACTGATATTTCTCCTGGCAATCTTGATTCCAGCTTGTGCTTCCTCCAGCACAGCATTTCTCATGATATACTCTGCATATAATTTGAATAAGCAGGGTGACAATATACAGCCTTGACGTACTCCTTTCCCTATTTGGAACCAGTCGGTTTTTCCATGTCTAGTTCTAACTGTTGCTTCTTGACCTGCATACAGGTTTCTCAAGAGGCAGGTCAGGTGGTCTGGTATTCCTATTTCTTTCAGAATTCTCCGCAGTTTATTGTGATCCACACAGTCAAAGGCTTTGGCATAGTCAATAAAGCACAAGTAGATGTTTTTCTGAAATTCTCTTGCTTTTTCAATGGCCCAGCGGATGTTGGCAATTTAATCTCTGGTTCCTCTGCCTTTTCTAAATCTGGCTTGAACATCTGGAAGTTCACAGTTCATGTACTGTTCAAGCCTGGCTTGGAGAATTTTGAGCATTAATTTACTAACGTGTGAAATCAGTGTAATTTTGTGGTACTTTGAGCATTCTTTGACATTGCCTTTCTTTGGAATTGGAATGAAAACTGACCTTTTCCAATTCTGACTAAGTTCATTTAAAGGTTCTTGTCATTCAGTCATTTGACTCTTCTAGAAAAAAGGTCTGAGTGTGAGTAGGGGATGTTGGAAACACTGATGAAATTATACTAACTGAATTGGGACACCGATTTTTCTGGAAGTGCAGGGACAGAATAACCTAACGGTTAGT